TAGCAACTAATACAACAGAAGCCACACTGTTACTCAGATGCAGCTAATTCTTGGATGTATGTAATTTTACATGGGGACAGATTTTTTTTTTTAAATTTGTTGCCCACCATAGCTTGTGCATTTTGTGTTGGCTTGATTATTTTGCCCATGTCTCCCTCTACTGGAAGTTGCTGTTCTCCTTTATTACATGCTTTACATGTTCACTTTACACACTTAAGTTTCTGTGCAACCTACATCATTATCCGAAAGAACTGCTTAGGAAGGTAGCTTACAGGATAGATTTTAGGGTAGGTTAATTGAGAAGTATACAGGGAAGATCATTTCTATAAATATGAAATAAGGATACTTGTAGTATTTTTGTTTGTTTGTTATGTTGTTATTTTTACACCAGAGATAATGTACAAGGAAAAAGAGAGAAGTCACATATGCATATTATGTTATGAAAATCTGAAGGCAGACAAGTGCATATTAAAATTTTTTAAGTTAAAAATGAAACAAAATCAACCAATATATGTATAACATTTATAACTAATAAATGAAAATAAAATTTCAAAAATTAATGCCTATTTCCTTATTTGAATTTATACAGCATGTTAAGGAAAATATCTATCAGGGTTCACCACTGCTCATCACCAGTACTGCTAACATTTACTGCATATACACACTATGTACCAGGCCCGGTGCTGAGCACTTTACCTGCCATATGAAGGTATTATAAGCTTTCAGAGTGGCTACAACTGATTTAAATTTGCAACCCATTAAGTGGCAAGAAAAGTGGAATGGGGCATTCTGATTCTAGACCTTGTTCTCAATTCCTACATTCCAGTAACTTTTGCCACCATAGTAAGCAATATAGAAATATATAAAAAATCAAAACGTGGGCAAACCTGGCTAAGACATTTCAGTCAATTTATCTTCATAAACACTTTCCTTCATTCCCTTAACACCTCTCTCTCTACCCAAAGTGTCCTATTAAATGGCAATTTTTACGTATAATGAAAAAGGTAGTCTTTTCATAAAGTTTTCCTCTGGAACAATGCAATTCAGCTGTTCTACATTCAGTTGTAAACAAGAGGACTTTGCACAGCATGAATGAATGAATGGATGCATGCATACATGCATGAACGACAACAATACTTAATACACTTACTATTGGAGCATCATCAACTACACAGGAGAAAGGAATTCTCCTCAGATTTTGTGGTTGGTGTAATCACTGAGGCCACTAGAAGAACTTCAATAGTACCAGTGAGCCTGTCAGGGAAGCATAAAACCTCATTTCAGCCTGAAAAGTTTATATCAGGGTGAGCCAGGAGTGATTTAAACTAAAGAATGAGATGTCAGTTAAAATGCAATTATGTGCTACATTTTGAGATAAAGCTGTTATTTAGGTTGAAAAATGGTTAAACGTATTCCTAGAATTTTTGTAAGAAATCAATTGTACCATTAAATAATAAAATGGGCTACAGAAATATTTCATATTTATTTCTGCATTAATGTTCTACATGTTTTCAAAAGGCTTAAAACTTAACTGAACATTTTTATGCTCCCCAAATCTTTTCTTCTTCTAAATCTAGTCTTATTTAATAGTATTTTCATTCATATCTGAAATTAAAAAGTCTTTATGAAATGTCTCTTCTATCCTTAATCCATATACCCAGACACTCATCCATCCCTATGTAAAAAGTCTTTCATTTGGAACTTACCCCCTCACCACTGCGATGATTTAAACCCTAATAATAATGAACAGAGAGCTACTGCAATCGCCCCACAGTTTGTATTGTCCATGGCAATAAAATTTCCACAACACAACGCTCAAAAAATTTTGGCTTTCATAAGCATGTTTTCTAAAATAGAAATTTTATTTTTATTCATTGCAAATTTAATCAAGCCTTTTAAAGTTCTGACTTCCATAATAGCTGCATTTTATCTTCAGTGTTTGATAATTATGTAACAGCATCTAATCAAAAGTTAAGTTTGTTTACTGAGCATTGAAAATTAAAGATAGACTGATCTAAATTTTATATATGTTTGAGTGTACAACATCATTCTATAATTTACCAACGAAGAAAACAGAATACATATTGTTGCTTTAAAAATAAATCCATTTATATGACCCAGTTATGTGCTTAAACTATTCAAGCTTAATTTTCAGCTGCATATGAAATGAAGAAATATGTTATTTAAACATGCAACCCACATTTGGACAGAATAAGATATAATTAACAAGGAATTGACATGCATGCCCTTATTGTACCAATATTAACATCACATTGAATTCATAAATATAATTAACCATTCCAAAAGTATTTTCGCATTTAACTACATTATTTATAAAAATGAAATTAAGTTCAAAAATAGAAAAATTTAAACAGTATTTTAATTGTAGCACACTCTTTGCATAGCTTTTCAAGGAAAAATGTACAATGAAACAAAAATTCAGAAATTCATTTGTTAAACAATAAACAGATAAAAAAGTAAAGTAATTTGGATGGCCTACTAGGTGAAATAGTTGTCATGAAATAATAGTTCAGTTCCTATTAGCAAAAAATGTTTTAAGAAACAAATGAATTAAATAACAAAGAGCAGCTTAACATGTGAGGAAAGGAGTAGCATTTTATTGGGAAGATTTTAAAGAGTAACTTGGAAAGTAACACAAATAAGGCACATATATATTTTTAAAGCTGAAATTAAAAAAAGAAAAAGAAAAACTAGCTGGACACCAGCAGCTCATCCTTGTAATCCTAGCTTCTCAGGCAGTCGAAATCTAGAGGGTTATACTTTGAAAGCAGACAAAGTAGAAAAAGTCCTTGAGACTAAATCTCCAAAATAATCAGCAAAAAGCTGGGCGGAAGGTATTGCTCAAAGGTAAGTACCAGTTGAGTATGCAAGCCAAGTGATCAGAAGGCTCTGAGTTCAAACCATAATACTACTAAAATAAGAAAAGAAACAGAGCCAAAGGGACCTGGAGGTATGGCTCTAGTAGTTGAGTACCTGATTAAAAATGAGCCAAGCTGAGTTAAAACTCCATTATTGAAAAAAAAAAAAGATTGAACTTAGAATTTGAAAAATGAAATAACTATATGAACTAAAAACTAAATGAAATAAAAAAGTCAGAGGTATAAATTAATACAAAAATATAACAATCAAAAAGTATTTCCTAGGAAAAGCTCAGAACATAAGATTTTTATATATTACTATATCTAGAAAAAGGACAATAATTTTCCAACCACTTCATATGGGAGGAAAAAAATTCTGATTGGGAAAAATATCTATTTTTTTTCATTTTTTTCATACATTAGTGATTTCTTTTGTCCTACCTATTATAGGTAAAGTTTTAAAGACAAAGATTATAACTTGGTTCACTGTTAGATTTATTCACAAACACTTAGGTCAGTGTAATAATGAAGAACTGCTATTTTTTGCAAAAATAAATCAGGGCATAGACAATCAGGCACCCATGTTTGAAAGTCTGAATCATCCATTAATATCTGTGTTCCTGGAAAATTAAATTGCAATTTCACATGCTGAGAAGAAAAAAAGGAGCATAATGCAAGGCTGATGTAAAGATTAAATGAGGAGATATTCATGAAAACCCTTAACACATTGCAACATAAATGATAAATACCAATTAACCAAATTATCATTAGAATGGGTAAGGTAATCTCTTTCCTCCATTTCTTGGAGACCCCATGAGGGTCTTGAACTCTATATAAAGGTAGTTTGTCTTTGCTTCTTTTTGAGGACAACACGAGTTGCTCATTCAACAAACATTCACTGAAGCATTTGATTCTCAGCACTTTTCTACTTGCTGAGAATACATCAGTTACAAAATAACAGGTACTTATTCTTCATCAACTTAAGTTGTCAGGCTTTCCTGAGAGTCCAGGGTATTATGAGAGCAAACGGAAGAGGGGTCTAGCTTTCTCACAACAAAAACTTAAAAAAAACCAAATATTTCCTACTTGCTATTTAAGGGGTCCCTATAGTGGTGTTTTGTATTTAGAGTCTGTTCCATGAGGCTCTCTAGCAAGAGCAAGCTTTGGAAAGCCTGGAAGCAAAGCAGGAGGCATTCTAGGGGCTGTAGGTATTATTATTTTGCCTTTCTGTTTCCAAAAGAGAACCCTGGTAGAAGGTAAGATTCTTCAAGGCAGTTCATCGATCACAGGGCCTAACAAAGACAACAGATTTAAAGCGCATTTTTAAACAGGCGGGATTTTACTGCTACTGTCTAGGACAAGACACAATAGCCATAACATTTCCCGAAAGTCTCCTAACTGACCTAGCATAGTATGCTTCTGCACTACTGTGTAGTGTACCTTTCAAATAACTCATCATGTCAAATATGCTACAGTTGGTCGCTAGGTTGCCTAAAGGACTCCAAATGTTCCCCATCACAGGGTCAAAAGCTAAAAAAACAAAGACAAACCCAAACTGAAATTATCAATGAATGAAAGCACGACTGTAAGTCGTTTGATAAACAGGTCTCTGGAGGGCCTTGGCCCCGCCCCTCCCCACAGACCACGCCCCCGGCCTCGCCCATCCCGCCTGGCCCCGCCCCGCCGGCCTGCTATCCATTCACCTGCGTCCCTCGCCGCCTCCACCAGGGGGCGCGCGCCAGCGGGCGGGTGCTCCGACTCCGCTGCCGACTTCCTCAAGGCCGCCAGGACCGCGTCCGGGGGCAGGCTGACCAGCTCTTCCCACACAGACTTCGTGTAGAAGTCCACCGTGTGCGCGTTAGAAATGGACAGGGCGTCCCTTAGAAACTTCAACAGTCCCCGCAACTTGGCACGCAGCGTGGGCAGGTCGTGGGTCCCCGGGAGTGGGAAAAAAGCCGCCATGACGCTCACCCTCCCGAGCTGTAGGTGGCGCAAACATGGCCGTGAGCAGACTGCTCTGCCTTCAAGGAACGCAGGCCGGGTGAGTAGAGCTCCGAGCCGGAACGCTTGCAGAGGCATCGGCAATTGATTACTTCAGTCTGATGACGTCTTTTCCGAGCGTCCATTGTAGTGAGCAGCCCAGGAAGTGGTTCCACGATGGCGCCGGCGAGGCCCGCGGCGAGGAGCCGCGTCCAGGGTGTGGGGTCGCGTCGCGGAGAGGTCGGACTCCGGAACGGGAATGGCAGGCGAAAGCCGTGGCGGCCAAACTACTCTCAGGCCTTCGCGGGGAGCGTGCGCGAGGGTAAGTCCTCCCGGGATGGGGCTCAGGGTGCGCGGTCGGCCGAGCGGAGCCCGTGGAGGACGCGGCCCGGGGGGGGGGGGCGGCCCGCAGACCTCCGCGCGGGGAGCCGGCGCGGGGCGGCCCGCAGACCTCCGCGTGGGGAGCCAGCGCGGCCCGCAGACCTCGGCGCGGGGAGCCGGCGCGGCCCGGGGGGGGGGCGGCCGGGGCGGCCCGCAGACCTCCGCGCGGGGAGCCGGCGCGGCCCGCAGACCTCCGCGCGGGGAGCCGGGGCGGGGCGGCCCGCAGATCTCCGCGCGGGGAGCCGGGGCGGGGCGGCCCGCAGACCTCCGCGCGGGGAGCCGGCGCGGCCCGGGGGGGGGGGCGGCCGGGGCGGCCCGCAGATCTCCGCGCGGGGAGCCGGCGCGGCCCGCAGACCTCCGCGCGGGGAGCCGGGGCGGGGCGGCCCGCAGATCTCCGCGCGGGGAGCCGGGGCGGGGCGGCCCGCAGACCTCCGCGCGGGGAGCCGGCGAGGCCCGGGGGTGGGCGGCCGGGGCGGCCCGCAGATCTCCGCGCGGGGAGCCGGGGCGGGGCGGCCTGCAGACCTTCGCGTTGGGAGCCGGCGCGGGGCGGCCTGCAGACCTCCGCGCGGGGAGACGGCACGGCCCGGGGGGGTGGGGGGCGGCCGGGGCGGCCCGCAGACCTCGGCGCGGGGAGCCGGCGCGGGGCGGCCCGCAGACCTCGGCGCGGGGAGCCGGCGCGGGGTGCTCCTGTCGCCGGCGCCTGAGTTCGTACCGGCGCATTCGCGCTGGCCCCGTCGCCCAGACCGGAAGGATGGTTCGGAAGTGCTGGGCTCCGAAGCCCTGCCCGGTGTTGCAAACACACCCCCGTAGCCCTGCCTTCTCCCCTCCTTGGCTAGCCTTCCTCTTCTGTCTCCTGCTGTCGGTAAGGCTCTCTACGTCGCACATAAATTGCTAACTCTTCTCTGTCTTTATTTTTCCTGGAACTCGAATTCAGGGCCTGGGCTCTGTCCTTGAGCTTAAAAACAAAAACCAAACTCAAGCACTCTACCACCCGAGCCACACCTCCACCTGCAGCTTTTTCTTTATGTAAGTGGAGATGAGAGTCTTGTCTCGTGGACTTTGCTGAGCTGGCTGGTTATGAACCGCGATCCTCGTATCTCGTCCTGCTGAGGAGCTAGGATTACAGGCATGAGCCACCTGTGCCCGGACTTTTTTTGTTTTTAGTTTTATTTCTTTTAAGTATTTCCGGATATAAGTGGATAAATAGTTTCTCCAAGATAAAGTGATAGCTGTTTCAACTTTCAAGTAATTATTGAAAGCCCAGATTATATTTAAATAGATTATATCGGATTAAATATATTTTATGAAATATACATCAGATGAGATATACTTAGCTGAATTACATTTCACTTCAAGTTGTGCAGCCGTCTGGTCAACTTAGGACCAACTTGTTCTTTGATCCAGTCAGCTTAAAATTGTTGCTTGACCTAAAGCAAAACAAGTAAGTCTCACATTTGAATGTGTTATGTAAAGAGTTTCTCATTGGTTTTCCTTCAAGTTGTATCCTGTGGAAATAGCTAACTGAACTCTTGCAACGTAGGACAAGGCTTTGCATTTCGGAGAAAACTGAAGATTCAGAAATACTACAGGAAATTGCAGTGGAAGGAAAAGAAGGGTCAAACGTCCCACGAATCCCAGTTCACAGATCACTACCCAGATCATCTGAAGCATCTCTATCTAGCTGAAGAAGAAAGGCTCAGGAAGCAACAAAGAAGAGTTGGCCAGCATTTGCCAGAATCAGCAACTGACCAGCCTTTGCCTGAAGAACACTCTAACACTGATCAGACTTTGGTCAAGGACCAGTTTTGTGGTGTTCACCAGCTTCCACCAGAAGAACAAGATAGCCAAACAGTAAAGTATGTGTGTATTTTTTCAACCTTTTGCTTTAAATGTGTTTTATGAAAGGTATTATATTACATTTCATATATAGGAATTAAATTTTTCTTGTTTAACACATTTTCTGACATTACAGATATATTAGGCAAACGTTTTCCTGGAGTCTTCTTAGCTATAAATGACTAAATTAGGCTAGTGTAGCATAAATAAAGAAGTAATGAAATGAGAATTAGATCAGAGTTTTAGATTCCTGTTTCAAAATAGGAAACTTAGTAATTAACTGCTACTGTAAAATATTTTGTTTAAAAATGGTTTTTTACAATTACTAAAAAATGTGTGATCCTAAACAAGCTAGAGCTAGACTTTGGTATCTTTGTGTTCTCTAAATTGGGAAGGATAAGATAAGAAGCAAGCCATTGAGAGTCACCATGTTGTATTGTGATGCCAGAGTTAATTCATAACAGGCTTATGATCGTTAACTACCACTGCTCCTATTACTAATCTAGATTATTTCCTGAGGAGAGGATATAAGTTACAATTAAAAGCAAATGGCATAGCTTCATAACACTTTGAATTTATAGAAGCTAACTTTTATAAAACTTTCCACATGCTTTTGAAGTAAAATATTCTGAAATCTAAGCCTGCAAGAAATTAAATACCACTTGGAACTATAATTTCTGTAGCAAAATGTTGTGTTTTAAATTGTTACCTGTACTGCAAGTAAAATGAACTCCAGAAAAAAGTACTTGAGAGTAAAAGCAGTATAGAAATTCATTAGAAAAGTAGATTTGAATCATTCTCAGTGGTGATTGAAGTAAAGTTAAATCATGAGACAAAATCAGAAAAATAGAATCATATTTAAATACTACATTTTTTAGGATAAAACAGGAATAAGCCATCTTTAAAACGATTAAGTGGTCAAAACTGGAGACTTGGGGAATACAGTTTCAGGTAAGTAAGCAGAGGAAAGGTATGAGAAATAGGAATTGGTCAGCTACCAAAACTACGGGAAATGACAAACAACATACGGAAACTAAGGAAAATGACAAACAACAGATCTTTGGGTCTGTGGTTTATACAACCATTAGTAATTTTCAAAAGATTTTCAATAGATAACCCTGACAAACCTTTCATATAAGTGTGTGTGTGTGTGTGTTTGTGTGTGTGTTTTGAGCTCATTGATTATGGATATGATTGCATAAAGACAAAATAAAAACTAAAAAGAAACATGTTATAGGAAGTTCTAGAAGAATAGAAAGATACCCAGTGTGACAGACTAAGCACTTGCAGGAAGATTTCACCCAAACTGAAAAAGTAGACTCTTGAAGAGTGAATAGTCAATTAAAAGAGACCATAGGACATCATTATTGTCTTGTTAAGGACAGTTGGAATAGTAGAACAAAAGTCAGATATCACAGGCAATGAGTGAAAAGGAAATGACAATCAGTGTACTCTGTTTTCTGTTGATTTTGAAACTTGATTAAATTAGGGACCTAGATTAATAGAAGTGACTGTCTAATAGGTAAGTTATGCATTTGTTTACTTTAACAAGGGAGCTACTGAAATATGTATTGTAGTTACCATATGAGAATAATGAAAAGTTGAGAGACAGTGGACAGAAAGATTATTACTATATCATGTATGCAGAGAAAACAAGTGAAATTCCAACTAGATTACCCTTGGGAATCTAAGACTTTCAAAGAGGAGAAAAGACTTTGAGGTTGAACACTTCTTTAAGTGGAGACTACATCCAAGGCATGGTAATGTTTCAGGACTAGATGAGATAGAAGAGGCAAGATTGTCAGAGACTTTTGAATTTCTCAATCTTGTCTTTTTAACATCTTAAGCTCTTTCAAGACTTTCTGCAGTTCCCATGGTTAAATATTTCTCCAAGAATTTCCATTACTATTTTATTGCTTTATAATCTTAAAAACTACTGTAATTTTTAATGTCATTTTTGACATTTTACATAAAAATTGATGTTTTGTTTCTTTACTCTTTTCTTCAATTAATTTCTATGCATTTTTAGACTTGTAAGCACTTTCTGTTGTTTATTTTGGATATTGAGTCTCTTGGACTTCTCTGCTCAGGATGCCTTCAAACTTTTGTCTGAATCTTAGCCTCCTGAATAGCTAGTATTACCGGCATGAAATTATTATTTTTAATAATTGTACTTTATTTGTTTTAATTTATATTATGAAGTTCTGTGACTATTCCAAAGAAAAATAAAAAGAAAACTTCAAATCAGAAAGCAAAAGAAGAATATGAACAGATACAAGCTAAGCGTGCTGCTAAGAAACAAGTAAGTTTTACTTTTAAAATATTTAGGTTCATTTTTCTTAAATGTATATTTTAGTTGTGTTTTTTAGTATATTGATATATAAGTTTCTTTCTGTACATAGTTGTTCAATGAATGATTGTCTTGAGCAGAACTGGAGAATTGCATTGCATTCAAATTCCTTCATTGCTTATATTTTTGCAGGCAATATTTGTAGCATAAGAATAGGATATTAAAGATACTACTCATGGGTCAATACCATTTCAGATATCATTGCTTAGTGAATGGCCCAGAAACTTGTATTTTTAACAAGTAACTTGAGATATTTCTTATGTTAAAATATGAAAACTACCAACCTAAGAAAAACATGGATGATTTCCATAATCTTATATTGAAACAATTAAAAACCAGAGGAGGTATTAGAATGTAATATTAAGTGTTTTTGCCAATTAAAAAACCTACCAGTTTTAAATGAACAGGTAGTTGCCACTTTATTATCATTCCCCAAAACAGAATTATAATATACTTTTCCAAATGAGTAAAACGAATTGTAGCCACAACAAAATTCTCATATTTTAGTTAGCTTCTTTTTATATTAAAGCTTTAGTAATTTGTCACTCATCAGACATCCCAAAGATGTTGGTGTATGTTTATGTTTCAGGATATGTATAGTTAAGAAAATTTGTTTGGAAAAAATTCCATGGAGATAAACAAGGCTCCATCTCCCTATTTCTCTACCAAGTTTTAGATCTTTATATACTTATTAAAATAAATGCTAAATACCATTTTTAATACAATTTTAATAACACAATGGGACCTTACATAATTTGGTATGAGTTTCAGGTTTACCACTTACTAGGGATCTTGGGCAGATCATGTGCAGTATTTACTGAGCTTGGCTCATCCAAAAGATAAACATCATAAACTTGCAAAAAAAAAAAAAAGCACTTCGAGCTGGGCACAGGTGGCTCCAGCTTACAATCTTAGATACTTAGAAGGCTGAGATCTCAGGATTGCTGTTCAAAATCAACTCTGGGCAAGAAAGGCTGTGGCTCAACTGCTAGGGTACAAGCCTTGAGATAAAAGCACAGGGACAGCCTGAGGACTAGCACACACATACACACAAAATAACACTTTCAGAGAATGGAATACTATGTGATTTTACACAATACACGTACTTTTAAAATTAGAAACGTGACTAAGTGTAAAGCCTTATCTTTATATAATTTGTCATGATTATAGCTACATGGATTACCGGAGAAATAGAAAAACTGTACATAAGATGGAGCATCTTTTCAGCTGTTAAAATATTTGATATACTGATATATAGTGCATTTGGAGTAGTGACTTCAGGACTTTATAGCTTTGAAATTTATTTCTTTGTACTCAAACTTGAGTCTGTTGTACCAATGAAATGAGCATGGAACCAGAATCCTAATGCCTAGCAGTGCTTGGCACATATACAGAAAGCAGTCAATAAGTATGTTTTAGTTTAACTATGTAAATGTGGTGACAAGATGAAAATTAAGTCTTCAGTGATATATATATATATGTATGTATATATATATATGGAAGATCAGACTATATAAACTTTTAATGTTCTCATAACTATTTGCCTTTCCTCTTTTTGTGTCTAGTTTTATTTGTATATAAATACATAAAGCTTGACAGTAACTTTTTCCATTGTATACCATGTATTATTGTAGTAGAAGGCAAAGAAGCTACAGTTCTTTACTTTGGGAAAACTAGTTACATTTTGTAAAACATAAGAGAAAAAATAACTTCTCACCTGTAAGTACTGTTTAATGAAAGCTACATGTATTTATACTTTCAGGAATTTGAGAGGAGAAAACAAGAGAGAGAAGAAGCCCAAAGACAGTACAAAAAGAAAAAAATGGAAATGTTCAAAATATTGAGCAAAAAGACTAAAAAGGGCCAACCAAACTTGAATTTACAAATGGAGTATCTTCTTCAAAAAATACAGGAAAAAAGTTAGGTATTAAAGGTTGAAGTAGTTCTATTGCCTCTTGGGCTCTTTTGTGCATATACTGGTACGCCTCTAAGCAGTGGACTTTATAGTTAGCAAAGCTGAATTATTTTGCAGATGTTTTTGTTCTTGTTAAATTTTCTGTATATGTACTACATAGTAGGACTTGCTTCTTATTTATTTACCTCTGAAGGGAGGGGGCTTGAAGAGCTTAAAATCCTTTAGTTTGGTAGATAAGCTGAAACTCAGAATACTTTTGTACTATACATAAAATTTATATGAAATAAAATGTTTTTAAAATAGCAAAGCTTTCTGTGAATTATTTAAGTGATATAGATTGTTTCGGTTTAGTATTCTGCCACAGTGTAAGGTTTTAAATTCATTTTAATAAGCCTATTGTTTATTATTCATTTAATAAGCCAGTACTTAGAACACTTAGCTAATCCTGGTTGAGATCCAGAGGTAGTTCAAGGCCAGCTAAGGCAGAAAACTCCCATCTCCAAAGTAACCTGCAAAACACAGTCCTAGAGACAAGGCTCAAGTGGTGAAGTGCCGTCTGAGTGAGCAAGCAAGCAAGCATGTGGCCCTGAGTTCAAATCCCAGTACTGCCTAAATAAATTTATTTTAACAATGAAGGAAGGGAAGACTCCTCTGAAAGTTATTTTAATGTAACTACATCCTATAGGACAATGGATTTTCCAGAATCCTGAGCACCAAAGTAATATTTTGTCTTTACCTTCATAAATAGTTTGAAGTCAGGCATGGTAGAGCATGCCTATAATCTCAACACGCGGAGACAGAGGCAAGGGAAATGGTAGTTTAAAGCTAGCTTGGACTATATACAAAGTTCAGGCCAACCTGAACTATGTCATGAGACAATTTTTCCAAAACAACAAAAAAGTAGTTTGACTTAAAACAGTCTACAAACATTCTCTTAAATGAAGTGCCTGGCTTATTAATGAAAAACAGTAGAAATACAGTAGGTTCACAGTAAAGTGAATTAAACTTTCTAGATCCTATGGGAATAGACCATAACTGTAATTGTGTAATTGTTAACCTTGTCAGCTGAGAGAAATAACTTTCCCATGAATTGTAACTCCAGGAAAATAGAGGCTGAAGTGTAGTTATTATAAACAAAAGGGTCATATATTAATAGTTGTAAAAATTTTGTAAATAATGGCAAATACAGTTTGAAATTAAAGTTTAGGGAGTTTTGCCCTCCACTAATTTCATTTGAAAGTATTCTAGAAGGTGCTTAGAGAACACTTAAACTTATTCTTGGGTTGAGGCTCAAGTGTTAGTGCATTGGACTAGCAAGCATGAGTTCAGTTAGAACCACCCAAAAAAGAAAAAGCTTAAAATGTGTTGTACATTGCTTTGCATGAACTATGCAGAATGCAAAAATCTAGCTAGGCTGTAAAGACAGTACGTGATTATGCAGAGTATAAGATTTCATTGTATATAAGATTTCATTCAGGATATTTGTTCATGATGTGAAAGGGAAAAGTTCTTTAAAAAATTATATCTAGGAATCTTGTAGGAGAGCGTGTGCCAAATAATGGAATCCTTGTGCAACTACCAATCCATGAAACATAAAACTGAGTGTGAGGGCTGGGAAGGTGGCTCAGTGGTAGAGCACTTGCCTTGCATGCCTGAGGCCCTGGGTTCGATTCCTCAACACCACATAAACAAAAAGAAAAAAGCCAGAAGTGGCACTGTGGCTCAAGTGGTAGAACGCTAGCCTTGAGCTGAAGAGCTGAGGGACAGCGCCCAGCCCGAGTTCAGGCCCCACCTAAGGAATTTCATAAAAACACCATATATCAGGCCAGTCACTGCTTTAAAGAAGAGATAATATCTGAAGAAATGAAGGGAAATTTATTGGCATTTGAGAAAAGACTTCAAAGATTTGTAAAAGATTAGAGGTGAAATAAGGAAACTTACAAAGGGAGGAAAGTAAAAACTTGGGATATATTATAATAAAGAACAGTTGTTAACAAAATGTGATAATAAGGAGGGAGACTGTCATTTCTGATATTGCCCTCCATAAGGAAGAGACACCCATTAGCTTAATGATCAGTCTCCTGATAGTCTTGTTTAACTTAGGGCAGGTATCATGACTTACCAAAACAAGCTGGGAAGGACTTGAGCTCTTCCTTTCTTCCCTTCACTTTTCTTTTTTATTCTTGAAGTGGTTACTCTAGCTGACTGCTTAATTTCTCCAAGGAATCCTGCCTCCCGGCCTCCCAAGTAGCTGAGACTAGAGGCACAAACCATGCCTCACTAGAGCACACACACACATGGTTGGTATTTTCCTACCCAAATTGTGAAAGATAAATTCTGTTGAAAAAGGGTCAGAAGAGGAAGAAGGATTAGGGAGAAATCTGTATTTTGGGGTGATATAACATCTAAAAATTAGTGTGTACTCAAAATGTACCTGGCTTGTTAGCATGTGTAAGGCTTTACATTTGATCTATGGCACTGCAAAAAAAGTTAAATTTGTACTTTATATACTATGTCCACTGTATCAACATAAAATTTGAAGTACTATGTACAAGAGAAGAACCTATAGTTTCAGACTAATGTGTACATTGGAGTTTTGATATTGGTAGTTTATAGCTTTTATTGATTTATGTTAGAGTTTTGCAAGTGTGAAGTAGGCTTTTAATTGCTATAGTTTTAGTAAAAGTCTTTAAAACATGAGATGTTGGAGTAGCTCTGTACAGGAAATCAGTTCTTTCTAGAGTGCTAAATGGCCTTAAATAAAAATGTGCAGGCTCCACCAAAAACTAGTGTGTGGAAACAAGTGATTTATGCTTAATAGGCTTCAAAAGGGCACAGGCATGGGCAGTGATCATCACCCAAATACTGGAATGGCTTATCAGCAGATGTCAGCCAAGGCGAAGAGGCTTGGCAAGCTTCCTTGACTGTGATTAGCATCATGAAAGGCAGTGGCATGAGTCACTAGCCCCAGAAGCAAGCTGCTGTTATTTGAACTTGACCTACGTTAAACGCATATATGTATGAGTCAGGAGTCTCATCTTCAGAGGCCTGGAAGACTAGAAAATGCAACAACAACTTGATGTGTTCCGAGATATGAAGGTATTAACAGTCAATATTTGGTTCTTTTAAACTTTAAGGCTGGTGTCTGTATGCAATACAGACCTGCAGTTCAAGGATTTAGTGAATTGAAGTGCTAAAGATTTGAATATAAAGAGATTTTGATCATTCTATGTAAACGGAATGTCAAGTGTCAGTTCTATACTTAACAAGATCATAGAATTGCAAATAATTGCTCATCAGAAAAGATAATGTGCCATATTGGATGAATGATGATAAACTGAACTTATTATAAACATATCTTTCAGTTTAGTTCTAACTTTGCATGTGGTGTGAACTGCATTCTGATGAGGCTGAGGTCATTAACAGCTTTCACCCTACCACAGATTCTGTTACGTGAGTTCTGGGAGTGTAATTTTGTATAAGATAATTGCCTTAAATTTAAGTTTGGGGATTATGATACCAGTATTACTATATTGAGTGTTTTAAGAGACAAGTCATAGCATGCTTAATGTTGAATTAATTTAACTCAAGTAATGCAATGAGTCATACTCATTCTTTTTTTTTTTTTTTTTTTAACAACAGTCTGTAGATGCTTAGGAGTCTACCTAAGCAATGAGAACATTTCTGGCTAGGAGTGGTAGGAAGTAAGAAACTGGAGAGAACCTTTTTAATGTTCCTTTGAATGTTAATGATAATTAAATAAACTTCATTTTTGTCCAAGGAATTTGAGAAAAGTAAAAGAGTACAGGTTCATTCTGACATGTAACCAATGAATGATTCATGTAGGGACACTTTTGTAAATGTTACTATAGTCATCTCATATGAAGTCTAACATTTTTCATGAAAACTCATAAAGAAGAATTCAGTGAATTCATTCATTTCCTCAATTATGTTGAAGTATGTAATTCCTAGCTCACAATATAGATTGAGCTCTAATGTGATGCCCTTTGGTTTCTAAAATAAGATGAAAACATAAAACTTGCTTTCTCCAGAGTCACAGTATATGACTGTTTAAACTGCATCTGGATGTTTATAGCTGCTTTCCTGATAATTTGTTTTATAGTGATTCAACTAGATATGCTACATATTAAAATTCATGTCTTTTATGCTGATGTGGTATTAGTGCATCTTATCAAGCTTTTCATTCAATTGCAAAAAATAATATGGATATAAAATAGGGTTGCTGTTCCTGTTTTTTCTTTTGCTGTAAATTAAAGGAAAATGAACCTTTTATAAGATAGGAACCTCTCCTATGACTTTGTTCTTCCTATTACTTCAGCTTCTCCTGCAGGTTTTATGTATACAATCTGTGTTTTATTAAAATTCCTTTGACTCTAAGCATGAAACCATAATGCCACACTGGGAAGAATCAACATTGTAGATAGGACAAGATATCTTAGATGTATGTTTAAGAGATTAAAGTGAATAGGAGTTGGCATTTAATTGAAACTGGTACAAAGTAGAGAAAGGGAAATCTTGGATTAATTCCCAACTTATATTTTGTGTGCAAAATAGGAAAATAGTGTTCTAAGCACACTGGTTGTAGGTGTGGGTAGTGGAGGTTAAGAATCTGCAAATGCACCAGGTCTAGAACTGCAGAATTCCTTATGGTTTCCCTACACCTTACTTTACCTGTGTGAATAGTTTGTTATGGAACTTCCTTATTTTGTTTGTCATCTGCTTCCTGCCAAGATCTTATAATAATTGATATATTAGACATGGCCCCAGGAAATAGAACCCAAATTTGGGAACTAAATTGCTCACATATTTGAAGGCTGTTAGAAATAAATGAGATACAGATCAATCTTGATGTGGTGATATTTAAATGATCACAGATACTGGCATGAGTATAATATATGAGCAAGATAAGGCATTGTGCTATAAGTTATCATGAAACGTTTTTAGGACAAAAAGTATGATTAGAAAATATTCGACACTTTTCTCCTGGCTAAAATAGTGTAGATATGGAAATGGCAAATTAATAACTAGAAATATCTGGGATCCATGAAAGAAAGACTAAAAGAGCAGTCTTGAATACATTTTACTTACAGAGTTTAGAAAACTTCATTTGGCTAAGAGATCAGATATGACTGGAGCTATTTCTATGTCTGACTGCGAGGTTGCAGAGTTTTAACCTCAAATAAGTTCTCCGTCTTTGTTGGGAGTTTTGTTCATATTAAAGGGCTAGGAATGGAATGTTGAGACCACAGACAGGAATATTCAAGCAAGATGAACAAGCCTGAGAACTTCAATATTACTTTGACTTT